AAAAGCAGAGTCCCTGCTATCATAATTCCAAAGGTCAAAGATTGAAAGAGCCACTCCAGAAAGACCAAAGAGCCTCATGTGACCCCGGAGCCACAGGTTACAGGCCCTTGATGTAGGTGTTTGAAAGGTTCCTTTTGAAAATAGGCTTGCCATGTCAAAATCCAAGATGGCCACCATATATACATATATAAACCGGCCACACCTATCATTTAAGGTAACTATGCTTTCTAGTTTTTATATTGCTTTAAAATATAGTTTGCTCAAAAGATTGTGGTGGCCGAAGATTAATCTATGGTGGCCACCATTGGCTACCCTCTGGCTCTGCCTTGCACCTGGTTGTGGATTACCAGGATCCACCACTCTGTGCCGCCTCGCACAAGAAAAAAAAACCTCTCTTCTCGAAAAAGTAACTCCTAGCCACTAAAAAATCTCACACCAAAAACATTGTTTACTTGCATTCCCTGTTAAATATCAGTCCAGAAAAACACTCATTTTGAAAACTAAATGGACTAAATGGACTGTACTTATATAGCGCCTTTCTATCTTATTTCAAGATACTCAAAGCTCTTTAGAACAATCTGTGCCTCATTTTTAAGTTTTAAGATGGCGCCCGTGTACATGGCTTGCAATCCACCTCTGCTGATGGTGTTCAGATTATTTTTGTTTTTTGTATTCCTCATCAATGACATCAGCTCTCTGCTGGTGTATGACAGACAACAACTTTTGGATCTTCGTCTTTCTGCCACGGAAGTCGCTTATTTTGACAATTATCAGCGTACCTCTGGACCCCCCCCTCCTCCCCCCTTGCTGGCAGACGTGCCAGCTTACCTTCACTGCGCTCCTCGCCTCCCTGCCCGGAGATCTTGCTTCAGATGTCGGGGAAAACGTGCTGGTCAGCTGGTGAAGCTGAAAGCTCTGCGCGCTGCATCTTCCTCTCCAGCTAGCGGTCATGGTTTCCATCTCTCCAGCTTCCCGTGTGCCCGGACCGGGTGGCCAGCGGGGGTGTCAGCCGATGCGCTGCTCAGACCGACCTGGAGGGGCTGTTATTGAAAACCTGCGGCCATTAGCGCGCGCTAACTCCACCGCTGCTGGCTCCACCGTTGCTGGCTCCACCGCTGCTGGCTCCACTTTGGACAGTATCTGGATGTGTTTGGTCAACGCATGATCTGTTACCAACAAAACTTTTATCCACTGGGATTACTTTCAAGAGCACAATTTGGACTTTCTGTGCATCACAGAGACTTTGATGTCTCCGGGTGAGTCCAGCGCCTTGACAGAATTACTGCCACCGAACTGTCTGTGTTTTAACGCACCGCGGCCATCAGGCCGGCGCGGTGGTGGATTATTAACAATATTCAAATCAACTTTTGACTGTAAACAACTGCCCATCCCAGTTTCCCGTGCCAGCTTTGAGCTGAGCGTCTTTGAACTCGGACATTCACCTCCGACGTTATTTGCACTTGTCTACAGCCCACCTCGATCTAAGGATTTCATAAATGAGTTTTCTGACTTCTTGGCTGAAATCACACCAAAATATGAGCATGTTTTCATTATTGGGGACTTTAATTTGCACGTGTGCTGTCCTGAGAAGCCCTTGATTAAGGACTTTTTAGATCTATTGGACTCATTTAATCTAACGCAGCATGTAAACGGTCCCACCCAAGAGTGTGGACATACACTGGGCCTTGTTTTAACTCATGATATGACTGTTAATAATCTTGTTATTGGTGATAATGTTTTCTCAGACCACATGCCAGTCCAGTTTGAGTTCACCCTCCCCCATCTAACTCCTAAGTCGTGCATTCCTGCACGTAGCATAACTCTGAAATGATCATTCAGCCCCCAGTGTTTCTCACCACCACTGAAGAGCTGACATCCCAGTTCAACTCTGTCTGCTTAAAGACTCTGGATTATGTTGCGCCTGTTAAATCCAAAAAATCAAAACTCAGAGCAGATCCTTGGCTGAGTGACGTCACCAAGGCCGTTGGGCGGAGCACAAATGGAGGAAAGACAGACTGCAGGTCTCTTTTGAAATACTTAAAGAGAGTTGGCGCTGTTATCAGAAAGCAGTGAAAGCTGCTAAATCCAAATACTTCTCTGATATAATTAACTCAAACTCTCACAACCCACGTGTCGTCTTTTCCACCCTAAACTCTGTTCTCCACCACACTGAACCATCTCCTCTGGAAGCCTCAACTGAACTGTGCGACAACTTCTTACATTTCTTTTTGGGAAAAATTGCGACCACCAGGGCTCTCATTTCCCCTCCAACTCATGACCCATCCATCCCACCTCAATCTGTAGCTCCTTTTGACCATTTTGAACCCATCACTCTATCTTCTCTAGAGCAGGTCACGTGCAGCTTGAAACCTTCTGGCTCCCCCTTTGATGTGGTCCCCCCTCGACTACTACAGGAGGTTTTTCCTACTCTAGGTCCGTCCATTCTTGCTATAGTAAACAGTAGTTTATCCACTGGCGTGGTGCCAAAATCCTTTAAACACGCTGCCATCCAGCCTCTCCTGAAAAAACCAAACCTTGACCCATCAGTCGTTTCCAACTACCGGCCTGTCTCCAAACTCCCATTTGTTTCTAAAGTACTGGAGAAAATAATCGAGTCCCAGTCCCATCGACCATTTATCTACATTTACATCCATCCATCCATTTTTTTTTTTAACAAATAGGATGGCTAAAAGGAAAAGGTAACAAAACAAAAAACAGCTAGATTCCAAGACAAATGTAGAAAACTAAAAACAGGAACATGTCTGCATTGGACCCTGCCATGTGTCCAACAGATTCTTAAAGACACTTAGAGAGGTCAAGGTCGAGAGCTTCAAATCTTTTTGTAAGATGTTCCAGGAAACAGGAGCGGAGTAGGAGAAGGCCCTTTGGCCTAGTTCAGTCCTCATTGAGGGAACACTGCAGGTAATAATGTCCTGATAGCGCACTCCGTAGCTGCACTCACGCAGAGACATGTAGGAGGAGATGTATGAAGGCAACAGACCAAGAAGTGATTTAAAGATGAAAATATACCAGTGAGAGAGTCTGCGTGAAGTTAATGATGTCCAGTTAACCAGTGAATACAGTGTGCAGTGGTGGGTACGATAATCACAGCCAGTTATGAATCTTAGTGCACCATAATAGACAGCATCCAACATCTGCAGGGTTCTTGTAGGAGCGTTCATGTAAATAATATCACCATAATCAATGGAGGGAAGGAAAGTCACAGATACAAGGCGTTTTCTAGCATTCAGGGTTAGACAGGATCTGTTTCTGAAAAAGAAACCCAGTTTAACTTTCAGTTTCTTTATCAAGTTTTCCACATGGAGCTTAAAAGAGAGATGTGAGTCGACCAAGAAACCCAAATATTTATAGGAATCAACAAATTCAATGGGGACACCATTTGAGGATAAAATCAGAGGAAGAACTGCTGGGACCAACTTCCTATTTGAAAAAAGCATCCCTTTGGTTTTGTCGGCATTTAGGACAAGTTTGAGGCGAAACAAATCAGTCTGGATGATGTTGAATGCAGATTTCAAAAGCTGGAAAGCCTTAGCAACAGTTTTAGCTCGACAATAAACAACTGTGTCGTCAGCATAGAAATGTATGGATGCATTAGGGATGTTTTTACCTACATTATGTATGTAGATTGTAAAGAGGGTGGGTCCTAAGACTGAGCCTTGTGGTACACCATTGTTGACTGTTAAATAACTGGAGGAAGTACCATTATGTTGAACACATTGCTTCCGGTCTGAGAGATAGTTAGAGAACCAACCAATGGTGTGTTCTGAGAAACCAGTTTCTGAGAGTTTATGACACAAGATGTTATGATCCACAGTATCAAAATCTTTAGACAGGTCTAAGAAAAGTGCAGCACAATAATCTTTAGCATCCAGTGCTTCAACAACGTCATTAAGAACCTTTAGTGAAGCAGTGGTTGTGCTGTGTTGTTTCCTGAAACCAGATTGATGTGGAGGTAAGATGTTAAATGAGTCCAGGTAATTTTTGATTTGAGAGTTTATCAGTTTTTCTAGAACCTTGGCTAAAATGCAGAGTTTAGAGATTAGTCCATAGTTGTTCAGTGAGGTGGGGTCACCTCCCTTCAGCAAAGGAAGAACAAAGGCTGTTTTCAAGTGTCTGGATGGAGTTTTGGTTTATGGAAAGATTGAAGATGTGGGTCACAGGGACTGTGATGATATGAGCGGCCAGCCTTAAGAAATAAGGTGGAAGTTCATCTGGACCTGCAGATTTTTTAGGATCAAGATCTTTTAACAGTTTATTGACCTCACTGACTGAGAATGGAGAAAAAGAGAAGCTGTGATTAACTGAGGATTGACTTGTAGGAGGGATTTGATTTGTAGAAGTTTGGTTATTAAGTGAAGTGGCTGATTTTTTGTTAGTAACTGTGTCAAATAAAGAACCAGAAGCAACAAAATGTTTGTTGAGACAGTTCAGGATCTCGTGCTTATTTGACACAGGAACAGAGTTAACGAGAAGTTGTGATGGGAGGTCAGATGATTGGGGGGTGCCTGAGAGAGATTTGATGGTTCTCCAGAATCTGTTAGGGTCATTTAGATTTTTGGAGGTCTGAGATAAGAAATAGTTGTGTTTTGCTGCTTTGACAGCAGTTGTGCATTTATTCCTCATCTGTCGAAAACTCAACCAATCAGTGTCTGAGTCAGATTTTCTCGCTGCAGCCCAAAGATGATCTCTCCTGTGCAGGAGGTCAGCTAGCTCTGGAGTAAACCAGGGGCTGTCTCGTCCCTTTATTCTGAACTGACGAAAAGCAGCATGTATGTTCAGGAAATAAATGAAATTATTATCGAAATAGTTCCAAGCGGAGTTCACGTCATCAGTTAACAGTTAAATAAAGGTTGATTGATTACAAAAACATTATCACCTGCCTTTTTCGCTACTAATAACTGTATTTACTTGAATATGTTTGTGTACTGTGCTGCTTGTAAGTAATGCTTTATTTGTCCTCCTGTTTACTGCTCTTTCAGGAGGCAGCACTTCGTTGTAAAAAGGAGTTTTCTACATTGCCTGAAGAAGATGAAGAGCTACTCCAGGAAATGTTAGACTGGGCATTTGGAGGCTTTCAGCCATCTGGTCCAAGTGGACTCAAACCAATAAATGGTATGAGTATTTAATATCTTTTCTATGTAAAAGTAAAGGGTGATTCACTGCTTTCAACATTTTCACAAGCATGCAAACTGTATGCTGCAGTAGGGTCTCAAGGACTTGAATACACATTTCAAATTTAAATAAGTTGAAAAAAATTATTCAAGGATTCAAGGTTCTTTATTTGTCATTCACACCACATGTGGTACATGTGGTGGAACAAAATTGTGTACACAGAGCCCTACTTACATCCAAGAAATGTACAAACCGGATTCAAAAAAAGTTGGGACACTAAACAAATTGTGAATAAAAACTGAATGCAATGATGTGGAGATGGCAAATGTCAATATTTTATTTGTAATATAACATAGATGACAGATCAAAAGTTTAATCTGAGTAAATGTAACATTTTAAAAAGGAAAAATATGTTGATTCAAAATTTCACAGTGTCAACAAATCCCAAAAAAGTTGGAACAAGTAGCAAAAGTGACTGGAAAAAGGAAAGTGAGCATATAACGAACAGCTGGAAGACCAATTAACACTAATTAGGTCAATTGACAACATGATTGGGTATAAAAAGAGCTTCTCAGAGTGTCAGTGTCTCTCAGAAGCCAAGATGGTAAGAGGATCACCAATTCCACCATTGTTGTGCAGAAAGATAGTGCAGCAATACCAGAATGGTGTTACCCAGCGTAAAATAGCAAAGACTTTTAAGTTATCATCATCAACCATGCATAACATCATCAAAAGATTCAGAGAATCTGGAACAATTGCTGTGCGTAAGGGTCAAGGCTGTAAAAAAATGACACATTTTGCAGTCAGTTTTCAATTAAAAATACTAATCATGTGTGTGATACTTTTTAGATGTCTTTCAAGAAAACACCAGACCAAAGGTGAAGAAGAAACTCTTCAGGAAAGCCTCTGACCCCTCCAGCCTTGTGAAAAGCAATGCAAACATCTGCTCTGAGATGAAGGATGTGGTGGTCTCTCTGGACAGACTGTCATGCAAGTCTATAGATGTGTCTTCCCACCACAAAACTCTTATGGAAGACTGGAATAATTTTGTAGAACAAACCTCCAAATCACTGAAAGAGGAAGGATACCATGAGAGATTCAATCAAGGAAAGAGAGAAAGTGGGGAGAGAAAAGTGGAGTTGGTTAGAGAATGGGTGAACATGAAAAGTGGGTGGGGAAGAAAAAGGGGTAAAGAAAGTTTCAAAGGAGGGAGGAGCACGAAGAAGACATACAGTTGGATCCATGGATCAGATAACGACATGTCACCAAACTTTGAGCCGTCCAAGAAGAGGAACTACACCAAAGTTAACAACAAAGTCAACAATGCGAGCATCGTGTACATTCAGCCTGACCAGAAACTCAGAGGTAGGACACACAGTTCAATCACTTGTCATTTTGGTATCAGTAGCAGACGCTCAGTTGCCTGCATGTATGTCTGTTTTCAAGCTGCACCCTCATTTGAAAGGAAAAAAATTCAGGCCCCCCTCCTTAAAACTAAAACAGAGTAACTTGAGTTTTAATGTGATTTTTAAAAAGCCTCAATATTAACATATTTCTTATAAATGGTCCCTGAGTAACCCGTTCTAAATAAAACCAAACATAAGAGTCAGAGTCAGAGATTATTGTCGTTCCACCACATGTGGTACATGTGGTGGAACAACATTATGTACACAGGGTCCCAGTTACATCCAACAATAAAATGAAAAAGAAAAACAATAATAACATCTAAGATATGAACTAAGAAAAACATAAACTAAATATACACTTAATTAATTAATTAATTTAATTAATTAATTTAATTAATTAATTTAATTTAATTATTTCTATAGCACTTTACACAACCATGGTGATGGTGACCAAAGTGCTTAACAAAAAACAATACTTAAAATGACAATAAGTTAAAAGCAAGAAAACACAACATAATAGCACAAATAAAACCAGAAATGTCACCACATATTTACGTACTAAAAGCTTGTTGGAATAAAAAAGTCTTAAGCTTCGATTTAAAAGGGCCAAGTTCAGTAATCTGACGCAGATCAAGTGGGAGCTTATTCCAGAGTCGAGGTGCGGCCGCAGAAAAGGCACCGTCACCCCAGAGTTCATATTTAGTCCTTGGAACAGAGAGCAGGAGCTGTCTGACCTCAGAGATCTGGAGCGGGCGGGGAAACTTAGCATCTCAGTTATATAAGGAGGAGCAAGGCCATTCAGAGCTTCAAAAACAAATAATAAAAGTTTAAAATCTATTCTAAAGTGGACAGGGAGCTAATGTAGTGAGAATAAAACAGGTGTGATGTGGTCCCATCTAGGAGTGTTGGTTAAAAGGCGCGCTGCTGCATTTAGCACTTAGCACTAATAGTATAAAAATATGTCGAACAGCAGCACAAACATGAGCATGAGTCTGTGTGAGCAGATGAGCACGCATGAACACATCAACATGAAACAGATCAGCAACAACATGAAACAGATCAGCAGCAATATTAAACAGATCAGCAGCAATGTTAGGTTTAAACAATTGAACTCGGATACAATAGAGATTTTTCTTTGCAAAGGGAAGAATAGCCAGAGACGTCCTTTCTCCAACTCTCTTCGACTTGCTCATTCCCCTATGCCTTTTTATTCAAGTCAAACAATACCATACCATACCATTTTATTTATAGAGCACTTAAAACAGCTACAAGGCCAACCAAAGTGATGTACAGACAGAACAACAGGTAACACACAAAGCAAAATACAAAATGAGGTAAATCAGAATATAGACATAAAAACGATGCAGATAATGACGACTAACCAGTGTGGAGCATACAGGATCAAAACACAGATCATCTGGTGTTGAAAGCCACCGAATAGCAGTGAGTTTTTAAACGGGACTTGAAAACCGAGAGGGAGGGGGCCTGTCTGACAAGCAAAGGTAACTCGTTCCAGAGTCTTGGTCCTGCTACAGAGAAGGCCCTGTCACCTCTGCGCTTAAGACGAGTTCTTGGAACTGTGAGGAGCAACTGGTCCGCTGACCTGAGGGAACGTGGTGGGACATACAGTTGTAGCAGATCAGAGAGATTGGGGGGGGGGGGGGGGGGGGGGGGG